TTTTAATATTATATTATATTATTTAATTCGTTTAACATTATTTTTTTTGAGCAAAATTTTAAAATTGATAACTAGTACTCATGTTTACTTTTAAGTATTAATTTTCATGTACATATTGTGTTAAGTGTGAACGCTGTAAAAAAAGTTCAGGAACTTTTTAATTAGTGGAGGAAAATATTTTGTGTATATAATACTATTTAGATAAGATAATTTATTAATGAATAAAGAATAATTAATAATTAATTAACGTAGGTATATTATTATACTAATAAAAAATGTTATTGGTTGTTGTAATATATTATGAAACGTGATCTCAACTTTCAATTTAGGATTAAAATCATTCTCGGAGTGCTTTTTATATATTTATAACATATTTTTTCGTGTCACAAACTATATTAAAAATAGTCAGCATTACAAATAATGTGCAGTGATAGATGAAGACAGGTCATTATTTTTCAGTTATCTCTACAAATAATATTGAAAAATATGAAATAGTTCATTTTGAATAGTTTAGGAAAATTATATTATTATAAATGCTCTGATATTTTGTGCCTTTATCTAAAAAAATAAAAATAAAAATAAACTACATTTTTTATCGATTCAATGTAATTAAAATAATATTTTAATATTACGTATTAATAAAGACTTATAATTTACAATTATGTAATTCTATGTTGACTCAAATTTTTGTTTAAACTATTAATGTAATTTTATTAATTTTAATTTGATGCGTAACATATTTTTTTTTTATAATTTGACACTGAGATTTTTGTTGACCAAGAAAAAAAAAACATCAAACAACTACCAGAAGATAGAATTTATTAAGTTTTTTATTAGATTTATTAAGTTACACAAAAGGTAGGTAAAAAAAACAATTCTTAAATTTTTTCTCTGAACTTATTATGGTATACGATTTATTTTTTTTATTTTGTTATAGTCTATAGTTTATACTATAAACTCTATAGGGTTGTACAATTCAAATACCTACTTATTTTAATCTAGTTTAATATTTATATATAGATACTATGAAAATTTCGATAAAATTTAATTTAATTTAAAGTTAAATTAATGAAAATAAATGAGAAAAATATGGTTTTTAATACAAAATTTAATCATATAATATTAAAATTCATAAATTTAATTCATATGATTGGTATACATATAGTTATTTATTTTATTTGGCATAGAACATATAATATTAATAGTATACTTATTAATACATGTAAAAATGAACGATACGTGTGAGTACCTATTAATATCTAATATAATAATATCTTCCAAATAAGTATGATTATTGTTGGTTCAATAATAATTTCGCTAAATTTAATGTGGAAGAACATTATTATTATTTTTTTTTTTTTTTAGTAGGTACAAACTTCAAATAAGTTTTAATTTAGAAATAAAAATGTCAAAAATATAATTTAGTACCTATGTTATTGTCAATATAATCCAATTATCCTTTAACCTTCCAATGAAAATTTGATTGTTTTTGTTAACTAAAAACAGTATTTAATAAATTATAATTAAAGAAGTATTTTAATATATGTATATATATATACTTTTCATAATTTAAAATTTTAAAATAGGAATTTTAAATTAAAACCAGTCGTGTATAATGAGTAAAATATTCTTTGTGTATGTAAAATAGTTATAAGCAATGCAAACTCAATACATTTTTCTATCAGTGTATTTCTTAATTATTTAGTATTTTAAGTAAGTAGCCAAGTATATTGTTTCCAAAGCTGGCTGTTATAGATAGAAAATATTGGTTGTAGATGACAAATTTTAGTAATAATTTAAGCCACGAAATAAAGTTAGTATGTTATTGTTTTTTCCTGGTTTACATGTCCGGTCGTGGGATCAGTAATACAATAATATTGGCCGTTCCTTTGACTTGTATCACATAAACCAATAATCCTCAGAAACGGCAGCAGTGACAAATAATTATACAAATATGACAATCCGATGACATAATATGACAAGTAACCATCAGTATTAAACATTGGCCAATTACATCAGTTGTGGAAATATGATAAAATAAATAGAAGAAACATTTAATTAGGAATTAAATATTAGATTGGAGGAAAAATGGTTTAATTTAATCGAATTCATACAAACTATCATCGAATATCAACCCAGTAGGTTAAGCTTTATTGAAAATGTTAAATTGTGAATAAAATTATTCTGTATTATTTTCTTCGAACAATATAAACTGAAAATTGATTTGAACTGTAACACAACACATTTGCATGTGCATTTCTGACTACGTTTTCCATTAGTAGGATCTGTGTTCGTTGGTGGGGGGGTGATAGGGGATAAGTATCTAACAGTATTTTCAATTCAAACGCAAAATTTTGTATTTGAAGTTTGAGCTGTAATATTTGTAAAAAAAAATATCATCAATAAAAAGCTAACCATATTTGTTTAATTATATTGGAAGGAAATTGAAATAAATATTTAAATAAAATACCTACATTTGAAATGATAATAATTTTATTATAATGTAAGATTACTTGGTGTATAAAAAAAAAGAAAGATAATAATCTTTGAATATATAATATAAAGTATAAGTTGAAAATTTACAATACATTTGCTAAAAAATAATACTAAACTTAGGAAACATTACTATAATAATAATTTTAGAATAGATATTTTTATGCATCGGAACATAAACATTTATAAAATATACTAATTACTAATATATAATAATAAATATTGTATAATGTAAGTATATTTACAGCCACCCAACTTATATTTGTATTATTGTTTTAGACGTAACTTAACCACATAACACTGGGATGTACAACTTTCACGAAACTTACCACTAACACAACCTAACATGACTTGGTATATTTATGAAAAGTCATGTTCATAACTTATTTCAATGAACTTTATAAAAGTTCTATAATTTATTGATTAAAAAAGATCACTGACTATTTAATATGTATATATTATGTTATCAATTAAACCTATTGTTCATTTTTTTTGTAACAGATTGCTAAATAAAGAATTTATGTTAAAAAAAAAAACGGATTAATTTCATTGAACATGTTTTTCATTAGTTTTGTACGGTACTGAACAGTAAGCAACTATAAAGATATAAAAATAAATAAACAATTAAATCGTATCTATTTTTATATCTTGTTTTTTATAATAGTATATAATGTATGACTATTGACATAAATATTGTATTTATAATAATAAACGAATTTCATAATATAATATATATTGTTTTTATTATTTCCACAACCTAATTATAGTCATATATTACTGAAATTAAATTTTCGAAGTACGATATTTAAAATGATATTGTATTATTATACTGTCTAATTGTTATTGCTTGGATACTCAAAAGACCAAATGGAATTATTTCTAGTTTAAATTTAAAATTATATTTCTTACTGTAATTTAATAACTGAACATACATTTAACTTATATTAAAAATGGTATAAATAAATATTATGTGAAATACCAACCTTATGAAATAAAATGAAGCTTTTTATATTCGATATTATCCTACTTTATAATTATTAAGCAGGTAAAATACAATACAATTTGTTTAAATTACATAAAATAAAAATATCTTGCATATATTTGTATCATTTCAAATATATTTAAGGCATACTAAAAAAATATAACTTTCAAAATATTTTATATATAATCTACTTATATAATATTAAGTACTATAAAATAAAATAAATGTCATGTTTGATTTATAAAAAAAAACACAACTTTTTTTTTCATATTATTTTCTTACTACTTATCTTTATAAATAAAAGTATACGTGAGATAGACGTGAGGTTAATAAAATGAAAATGATTATATTTAAATGTAATATATCGATACATTATTTTAATTATTCCTTAATTTAGTTTTTAATAGATTTAATAGATTAATTTACAAAATAAAAGTTAAAAATAATAATTTATATTCAATAGATCTTTATTTTATTTTTAATTTTAATTTTAATACTATATATATATTGTGACTTAATGATAAATCTATTCTACTTGGTCTTGAATCAAATAAACCCCTATTGTGTTACGTGAACCGTGTATTCAGTTTATTTAGTGTAAAACAAAAACATCTCAGTATAAACAATTATTGCATAAACAAATAATTACATGGGTTAAAATTATTTTATTTTTATTGATAACTTGAGCATAGTTTTATAATTAATTAATTTTTTTTTGAATACCTAACTAGTTGGTTGAGTGTTTATTAAAATAATGTTTAAATAATAATATTTAATGTTCTAGTTAGAATTATATACCTCATACTCGTATATTAATTTATGTAAAAATTACAGTTATCTATTAAGATAATTGAGGCTATTAAACCTCTATTAAAACTTAGTACTTACTTGCACTTCTATGTCTGAAAAATCAAATGCTGTGTACAGTAAAGGGAGTACTTCTTTTCTGATGTCATCTCTTGGTGTTTTTTCTAATATTACATGTAAGTTTTCCAATAATATCACTTGCACAGGAACATGTTTTGGACCATTGAATATTTTACTAAAAATTGAGAAAATTATAAAAAAATAAGAAAATAACCATATATTATGTATATATATATAACACCTCATAGCAGGCAACATGAGCATTTCGTAGTCCTCAAGAGTAGACTCTTGAATTAAGAATATTACTGGATGCAAGACTGCAGCCGATACATCTGGTTTTAACATTTCATGTTGCAAAAACGGCCAAACTTTTTGATACCAAATTTTCTGTAAGTGTAAAAACGATATTATAATAAGTGTTTATATTAAATTAACTGATTTTTTTTTTTCAATGTGAGAATAAAATACAATCTATTTTAATGGAAAAAATGCTCAAATTGTATGAATAAATTAAACGTTATGATATTTATTTTTAGTTTTTTTCGGATGAAAATATGAGGTGTTTTAAAGAAAAAAAATAAAAAATACATTATATAAAAATGGTTCCTGTGATATTTGGCTCTCACCATATTTCGTATACCTATTCACAGGAAAATTTGTAAATTAATTTTAAATTGTATAGAAAAAAAAAAATGAATTAACCAAGCTAAGTGTTGTCAATGAGTGGCTTCCTATTACCAATTTCATGTGTCACGTCTATGTTTTAAGCTTACAATACAAATTTATTGTAACAAATTGTACAGATTTTATATTTCTAATAAAAAATAAAAATAAAATAAGAAAATAAGAAATAAATAAAATAAAAAAAGTTTTTACTGGGGGCAAGGGTAGTGTTTTGGAACACGTATGTAAGCAGATGAGGATTATCACTAAAAACTCGGATGCTCGTCCATCCAGAAGCTACAGCAACCGATGCTTGACCTCAGAGCACATTAGCCACTGAAGCTAACCAACGTGCCACACCAGGCCTTAGCATTATTTTATTTAAGGATAAAAGCATTATTATCATTTATTTCTTAGCTTTAAGTTTAATAAATGTAAAAACATTTTAATACCCTCAGAGTCTTAAGTAACTAACAATACGCGTTTACATCATATTAATTAACAACAATGATTAAATATTAAACTATTATATTATTTTTATCAGAGATTCCTATTAAAGAAAACATACTCGATTATTTAAACAGTTTTTATACCTGATTCATATTATTAATTTTTGGAATCAATTCTTCATGTCTCACGATAATTTCATAACTTGCTGTTATTATTATAACATCTTCATAAAATATAAATGTACATTACATACACATACACAGATGTTTATATATTCATAAATGTAAATAGATAGTATAATCTTTGTCAAGCGTATATATATAGACCCTGAGTCGAATTGAGATTAACAGTTTTCACACGTTTATAAAACAGAAATTAATAATTAAATAAGATTTGAGATTAGGATAAAACTTAAGCATGTATTCTTTTATAGTCATTGTTATATTTATATATATATATATATATATATATATATATTATAATACAATTTATTAGAATTATTTATTTATTTTTCATTATAAGTAAATCAATTAATACGTTTTTAGTATACGTTCCATATTACGTTCTATATTCAATATTAAAAAAAAAATATTAATTATTAAATGATCAAAAAAAAATTAAGTGTAGGTACTGAAGTAAAGAAATATTAAATCTTTATAGTAGTCAAAATGAAGTTGAAGATTTTTAAAAATGAAATATGAAAGAGGGATACAACTTTGAGAAAGTATAGCGTAAATATAGGTAGTTGACAGATACTCTTATTAATAGAGAACTCTCTATAACTACAATACATAGTGGTAATAAGATCAAATATTGATTGATTTCTTGAACACTAAATAAAATTACGAAATATATTTAAGTAAAATACAAAATTGATATAGTTTAATAATAATAATTAATTAATTAAATAATATACATTTACACTTATAATTATTTATTTAGTTTATTTATTATGTCTTAAAAAAAAAAAAAAACAAGGGGTTAGATACTATTAAGTTTACATAGTATCATTTTTATTAGTGTTAAAGTGTATTATATTTTGTTTAATGTTGTTTAAGTGATATTAGTACGGAATAATATTGATCAAATTAAAAAAAAATATACACAACAACAAAATAAAAAAGTACATGACGTTTTGTGATCACTCCCAAGAGTCACTCATTTTTTTTTTTTTGTATTGTGCATCGAAAAAAAAATACTATAAAACAAATAAAATATAAAATGTCAATTTTCAAAAAAACTTTTCATTTCCATCAATCTATCATTTTATGAAATACATTTTATGACTGATAAAATTATCACAAAATAGGTTTTTTTAGACCTTTATAAAAAATAATTCGATTTATTTTATTTCTATAAAATATATTTTATTTTTGTTTTAAATAGTTTTGAAATAACTCACAAATATTTTTAAATAAAATATTATTTATAGTAATTATCTTCTTCAGATTGATTTTTTTTTAAGATCAATAAATAAATATCGGATAGAAAACATAAGAAACTATGTAGTAACAGTTGTTAAGTTAAAATAATTATTGTACAAACTTTATTGTATCCAAATCAAATTTTTGTGTCACTATTATATTAACAACAGTGTAAACTTAAATTTGATTACTTAAGTCAAAATGACATAAGATTGTAATCGTCTATAAAATAATTAGTTAATTGTTATCAAATATCCAAAAAAAAAAAAAAAAAAAAACAAATAAATAAATAAATAAAAATAAAATAATTGATCAATTTAATATTTTATAATATAATTATAGAGTCTAAAAATTGTTATTTTTTTTTGAAAATATTAATACAAATGTCTATAAAGTATTAATTTAATATTATTTTACGCTCTTAATGAAATAGATACAATTTTATTAAAACATTTTAACGTTTTTATTAAACAATAATAAATTGTGTCTCAAAATTATTATTCTTGTCGGTATTTGTTTTAGTAATAAAATCATAACCAAGACGAGATTAGGACTTCAAGTGAAATACTAAAAATTTCAAAATGGTGAGAAATCTTTAAAATTTATTTTATACTTAGTACTTAGGAATTTTTTAATTTAATTTATTTATATTCATCAATAGTGTAATTGTTTTATGTTTTATTTGTTAATATTTCTAACCCTTATAATATACATAGACTTTGGTGCGCTTTTACGATTCAAAAACGGTTCAAACAATGTTTATAGTCTGTTATATAAATATATTGTATAAAATATATATTCATATATTTAAAATATTAATATATAATATAGCTAATAGTGAAATTGATTACAAGCTGCAAGGTATGATCATAATGTTTTTAATATGTTCCATATTATATATCAGTAATCATTAGTTATCTCGATACATCAATTTATAATAAATTTTATTAAAAAAAATAGTATTAAATTATGGAATTTAAAAAACATAATTAAATTTAGAATCATTATAACCTAATTTTTATAATAAACGAAAATTAATTAGTAAAGTGTATTCTTTTTTCAGTATAAAGATTATTTAAATAAATTTTAAAGCTTCTTTCAATTTCCTAAATAAAATAATGAAATTCATAAGATAAAAATAGAAGAAAAAACGCTTTTTTTTAATTAGAAAATATGATAGGTATATATTTTGTTTGAAATTGTCTTTAAGATTTACATAGAATTAAATAAAACCTATTTTAAATTTTGAGTGGAGCGATGGATCTATTAATTCTACAAAAGGAATTTTTTATTATCCATCTTTCATTACATTACATTTTGGAGAAGTGAAATTGTTTTAATTATCTAATTATTAACTTTAGCGTTTATTTCTAGTTAAAATTCAGATTTATTTGTTACTGTGAGGGATAAAAAAATATTAAAAGCATATAATTAAAATATTTTTCAAAAATATAATTTTGTCGAAATTTTGTTTACTATATTGTAATTAAAAATCCATAGATATTTTATTTTATTACATTTTATGGTTTAAAATGTTTATATAAGATTTATCATTAGCTTTATTTTTAAAATAATACAAAAAAATACGAGTGTTATTTTAAAAATGTTTTCTGAACATTACATTTTCACGTTATTGGATACTCACAAATAAAATAACGATTTCTTACCAAACGATTTTTCTTATATTATCGTAATTCAATAATAAAGTACTGTTTAGTATTTGGTAAATTTTCACCAAATATTTATGTTATTATTTGTATATATGGTATAATTTTCTATTATTCTGATTCTTTTCACACGTTTTATAAACAATTAAAATTATCAATATTTTTATTTTTTTTTTTTTATATTTAAAATTTCATAAACATTGTTCATTGTGTTACAGTTTGAAAATATAATTCAATGATTCTCATAAGTAGTTTATACTGAAACAAAAAACACATAAAAAATATACATATATTATTTACGAGCACTTGGAACTTTTAACGTATATTATTATATTTCAAACAAAAAATGTATTTTTAAATGGAGTGTTCTCATCAAAAGTTAATTTAACTTGCCATGATATAATATAATAATAAATAATATAAAGGTATTAGTACCTGGTAATATAAATTACTTTAATAGCAATATTAATAGAAATATATCATAAAATATATTTAGTAATATATGCTGATATAATATTATAGTTTTCAGAATCGTTTTTAGTATGCAATGACTTGTTATTGAATTAAAATATAACATATCTGTTATAGTAACTTACTCCTTAATAATTAAATAACTGAGTACATTCGACATTCAATAGTGGCACAAACCCCCTCGCCAAAAAAAAAAAAAAAAATACAAAATAATTTGATGCTCTAATAAATATGTATGTATATGTTTGATCCTAGTAGCTAAAAAAAATTATATTATTATATTATTTAATTTGTGTACCTATGTACAAGCAGGTGTAGTTATTTACTTATTCACTTTTGTACTAATATATTTGAAATACATTTTTACTCAAAAAAAAAAATGATTTGAAAAAATAAAAGATCAACTGTAAGGTATAGAATGTAACTTAAAATAAATTAATTATCCCATAAAAAAAGCAATCATAAGAACTTTTTATTAACTAATAATAATATATTATAGGTATTTACTTTGGTACTTGTGTTGTACCCACGTATACTAGGTTCATATCTACTACCCAAATTTATAACAAAAATTATTGATTTCATATCGTATAACTTACAAATACAATATTTTTATAAAATATGAAGGTAACATATTAAACAATTTTTAATGTATTTTTTTTTTAAGCCATTAATAACGTTACATAACACACGATTTATCTTTAGCTATTAT